GTCGCACAAGACTCTTGCGTCTCCAGATCTTAGAGCAGTGGAGCCCAGTGACAATGGGGACCAACTACTCTGGAGCATAGAGCCCGAAATCGTCATCGAAGAGGGAGACCGAATCTTGATTCCTCGACTCCGTGCATCTAAGGAAAGAAACAATCGGTACAACTCAACGAGAAGAACAGTGCTTACTCAGGTCGACCCTCAGGACACTAGGTTGGTTGTAGATCGCCTCCCCTGCGGGAACTACGAGCTTCGAGAGGAGCAGCATGCTATTGGGCAACATCTACTCGTTGACGGCGACGATCGTGTTGCCATCGAAGTCCTCCACTCCTTGCTTCTACCTCTCAAGCTGTCAGAGTCCGAGGCCTTTTATGCCAGTATCGGTATTATCAAGGGAGCGGAAAAGACTGCTCTCACACTCTCTAAATCTCTTCACTCGTCCCTCGCACTCCCCAAAAGCTGGGTCTTCCCCATAGACGACGCGAAAGCGACGCCACAGCTCCTTGCGAGATTCGCAGGTGCGATAATTGCCAGCAGAATTGTCGATTTCGCCGAGTCAACTTCCGCGACCAAGCTCATCGCGCACAATATACCGTCATTTATTGCTAAAGCTCTTTCCGCTCAGGCCGAGGCTGAAGGCATCACAGTCATCCGAACTCGGACTGGCGGTGTCGTCCCTGAGCATGCCTCTGGCATCGTGGAAATCCACCCTCGAACTTCCGAGCTAACCTTAAGCTATGTTCTTCCCACAGACGCACATCTTCTCATAGATTTTAGTGGGGTCTCTGATAGCTCTCCAAATGGCGACAGCATCGGTAACATGATTTCTACTATTATTGGAAAGAACGGTTTTACGCTTACATCGGGCGACCTGTTCGAGACGAATATCATCGAGCAGCGAACCTCCAAAGTTGGCCATTTCTCAAAACCGTCGCGAATCTCTTCTATCGTGTCAGAGCTCTCATTCGAACCAACAACTGGCGATATGCCCGTCAATATCGTCAGCTTGTCTGAACTTCCCACACTTTCAGCGCCATTGTCCCTGGACACCGCTCTGACATGGGCCGCTTCAGGTCCACAGACAATGGTATCAGTCAAGGCTGAGAACGTTGACAAGAGATTCAGCTTCCGCCCAGACCGCACCTATCTGCTCGTTGGGTTGTCTGGACAAATGGGCAAGTCCATTTGCACCTGGATGGTTAGGCACGGAGCCAAGTACGTGGTACTCACGAGTCGACAGCCGTTTGTCGACGAGGGATGGCTCCGAAAGGTGAAAGCCCTTGGCGGCACTGGAGTCCAGTTTATCGCCAACGATGTGACGGATAAGAGCTCAGTTGCAAAGCTAATTTCGGTCATTCGCGAAACCATGCCCCCGCTCGCTGGCTTTGCTAACGGGGCCATGGTCCTTCAAGATACACCGATCAGGGACATGACGGCCGAGGTTTTGAATCGCGTCCTGCGTCCCAAGGTGGACGGCAGCCGGCACCTAGACGATCTCCTAGCTGAAGAACAGCTTGACTTCGCCATTTTCTTCAGTTCCATGGCTAGCGTCCTCGGCAACCATGGCCAGAGCAACTATACTGCAGCCAATCTTTTTATGAACGGTCTGGCCGCCCGCCGTCGCCGGAGGGGCCAGCCGGCATCAGTCATCGCCATTGGTTCTGTCATTGGCATTGGCTACATGGCTCGTGAACTGACGCAGAAGGAGATTCTACGCATCAAAGAGAGAGGTTATACGCCGCTATCAGAACGTGAGGTTCACCAGCTTTTCTGCGAGGGCATCCTAGCAGGTAGGCCTCGGTCTGATGACAACAGCTGGGCCGCTCCATCCCCTGAAGTTGTCTGCGGCGTGCGAATCGCACAACCCGGCGAAGAGCGGCCGATTCGGTGGATGGCGAACCCCATGGTGGGCCATGCCGTAATCAAGAGAATTCACAACAAGAAAGACGAGGATGGTTCGAGCGCCACTATGCCTGTCAAGGCCAGCCTCCTTCTTGTAAAGACAAAAGAGGCTGCCTTCGCAGTCATCAGAGACGCCTTCGTGACTCGCCTCCAAGGAATGCTACAGTCGGATAGTGCCCTTGAGCTACAACTTGCTGCAGACGAACTTGGAGTTGACTCCCTGGTCGCGGTAGATATTCGCTCATGGTTCTTGCGAGAGCTGCAGGTTGATCTTCCGGTACTCAAGATCCTTGGCGGCGCTTCTGTTGGTGACATGCTGGAATTTGCCCTGGACAACATGTCAAGCGACCTAATGCCGAACGTGGATGCCACATCTACCTTCAACTTGGCGAATGTCGAGGAGATGAAAGTAGAAGTTACAGCGCCACCACTGGCGAACGGCCAGCCCGGGATCGACACCGAGAAGCCCGAGGTGCCGACCGGAGGACCTCCACCAGTCCTTGTGTTCTATTCTGAGGATAGCAGCAGTGACGGTGGAAGCCGAGGAGATTTGACATCTTCCGCAGAATCGAACGAATCCGGTATCATTCGTGAGCTTACGCCGCTTTCCACTCCCGGGCTCGAGCTAGGGCCCATTATCAACGCCGACTCGATTCATCAGCTTGATAAGACTAGAAACGTCGCTGTTGCCGCGACTGTGGCCCGGACGGAGCCAATGTCTTTTGGTCAATCCAGATTCTGGTTTCTTCAACAATATCTCGAAACCAAGACGGCTTTCAACATTGCCACCACGATGGCTATCCAAGGGGACTTGCGTGTGCAAGATCTGGCCCGAGCTGTCCTGAAAGTTGGACAACATCACGAATCCTTGCGAACCAAGTTCACTCTCGATGAACAGGGCCGTCCTGTGCAGAAGGTCATGGCCAAGTCAAAACTTGAGCTACAACACCGCATCATCTCAGGGCCCATAGAGGCCCAAGGAGAGTATCAGAGGATGGTCACCCATGTCTACTCCCTCGAAACCGGAGACACAATGCAGATCTCGCTCCTTTCCGACCCCACCAAGGGTCAACGTACACATTACCTGACAATTGGGTACCATCACATCAACATGGATGGCATCAGCCTTGGTGTCCTCCTTTCTGATCTCCACAAGGCCTACCACGGGGCTCGTCTCACACCGTCGCTCCAATTTCCCGACTTTTCCACTCAGCAGCGCAGGCTTATTGCCTCTGGTGAGATGAAGGCTGAGCTCGCATTTTGGAAGGCTGAATTTGATACTCTGCCCCCAGTTCTTCCCGTTTTGCCTTTCAGTCTCACTAAGACCCGTCGGGCGCTTGTACATTACGATGCTCACAAGGTTGACGTCCGTGTCTCCGGCCAGGTCGCTGCACAGATCAAGGATGTGGTAAAGACGCATCGAGTCTCCCCCTTCCATGTGTACCTTGCCACCTTCCGGGCTCTTCTTTCCCGCCTGGTGGGAGCCGCTGGTGGCGACGATTTGGTCATTGGCATGGCTGATGCGAATCGCACAGAGCGTGGGGCACAGGAGGCCATTGGCATGTATCTGAACCTCCTACCACTGCGCTTCCAATCTCCTATCTCCACTCAGTCCTTCGCTGCTGCTATCAAGGAAGCTCAATCCAAGGTTCGCAAGGCCCTTGCGCATTCCAGGGTCCCCTTTGATGTTCTGCTGGAGGAGCTTCAGCCGCCCCGATCTTCCGATGCTTCCCCTCTTTTCCAGGTATTCATCGACTACCGGCAGCCCCTCGGCGACAGTTCTCGGGCTTTTGGCTGCAAAGTGGTTAGCGAAGAATATGTTCGCGGCGATACAGCATATGACGTTGTCATTGACATCATTGATACCACTGGGGGAGACGCGCATGTGCAGTTTACTGTTCCCAAGCTCCTCTATTCAGCAGAAGATGTCGGGGTTCTTTCCAGAACCTTCATGGATCTTCTAGACGAGTTTACTCAACAACCGGCCGTTGGATTGACGGAAGTACCACTGTACAGCGAGAAGGAAGTCAAAACGTCCATTGAACTGGGCAGAGGTACGTCTATCAAGGGCTTTCGGACCGAGACAACACAAGCGAAGAGGGGAACTGACGCACAACTATCAATTTAGGGCCTGCAGTTGAGGCTGAATGGAGTTCAATTCCCCTACGTATACAAGACATGATGGCGATCCACGCGAATAACGTGGCCGTTCGGGATGGTCACGGACAGTCTCTCTCGTACGAGCAGCTTGGTTCCAGGGTGAAAGATGTCGCGCAGGCTCTTTCTGATGCCGGAGTGACGAGCGGCTCCGTTGTTACGGTCCTGCAACAGCCCAGAGCGGACTGGGTTGTATCAGTCCTTGCTATACTGCAGTTGGACGCCGTTTACGTGCCTCTAGACGTCCGTCTACCGTTGCAGCGCCTTGCCTTGATCATCAATGACAGCAAGCCTGTGGCTATTTTAGTCCATACCGAGACTAAAGGGGTCATTGGCTCGCTCGGAGAAGTTGGCATCGACTTGGCAACCAAGGCAATCAACATAGAGGATTGTGCTTCGCGGCTTGATCATCGGCTGCGTGGTTCAACTTCCGCTGACGCAGATCGTCCGGCGTTCGTTCTCTACACCAGCGGCTCGACTGGTGCACCTAAAGGCGTCGTCTTGAAGCAATCAAATCTACTCAATCAAGTAGAGGCGACGGTCCAGGAATACGGCATCAAGCCGGAGTGGACTATTCTGCAGCAGACGGCCTACACGTTTGACCTGTCCATGTTCCAGCTTCTCCTGGCCGTAACTAGTGGTGCGTCGCTGTACATCGTTCCCCGACACCTCCGCGGTGATCCTCTGGCCCTTACACGAGTCATCGCGGCTGAGAACATCACATTCACTTGCACAACGCCATCCGAGTATTCGAGCTGGCTGCACAGCGGTGATCGGTCCGCTCTTCTCCGAAGCCAATGGCAGAAAGCTGTCAGCTGTGGTGAGACGCTCACCGCTGCTGTTCAAGCCGCCTTCCGGAACCTATCGAAACCGGATCTGAGCGTTATCAATGCTTATGGTCCTTGCGAGGTTACATTTGTGTCCCATGGTATTGAGCTGGACTACATGAGTGATTCGGCACAAGAAAGCGCAATCCCCATTGGAAAGGCGTTGCCCAACTTCTCAACGTATGTACTTGACGAGGGCCTCAAACCACTTCCTGTGGGCGTTGTCGGCCAGATTGCTATTGGCGGCGCTAGCGTGGCCCAGGGCTATCTAGGACAACCGAAGTTGACTGAACAGTCATTTGTCGTCAACACATTTGCAACAGAACGCGACATCGCCAAAGGATGGACGACAATGTACCTCACGGGCGACCGTGGGGCACTACGCAGCGACGGCTCTCTTCTCTGGGCATCACGGATGACAGGGCAAACACAGATCAAGCTACGCGGGATGCGATTCGACCTACAGGATGTCGAAGCGAACCTGATCGCTGCGGCCAAGGGTTCCATTGCTGATGCTGTCGTTTCTCTTCGTGGAGGCGGAGACGGACTCGCTGAATCCCAATTCCTCGTGGCTCATGTCTCCTTCGCCACGGGCCGCGTGCCACAGGACCCCGAAGCCTTCTGCAGGAATTTAGTCGCTGAGCTGCCACTCAGCGCTCACATGAAACCCTCTCTAATGATTCCGCTGAGAGAGATGCCGTTGACCATCAGCTCCAAGATTGACAGATCTGCCATTCAACAACTCTCTCTCCCTTCTGCCCTGACAGCAACTGAGGAGAGCGTTGTTCTCAATACAACACTCCACCTGCATCATCTCTCTGAGCCTGAGAGACAGATGTATCTCCTATGGCAGAGTCTTCTACCGGCAGAGGTCCTCAGATCCAAACCAATTGTCTCTCAATCCGACTTCTTTGGCGCCGGAGGTGATTCTCTTCTTCTGGCCCGTCTGCAGACCGCTATCAAGGACAAGTTCAATATCACCATACCACTCATCAAGCTTTTTGATACCTCGACTTTGGGTGGAATGGCCGCCCAGATTGACGGCGCTGCGACAGTTGCTGCAATGACACAGCTATCAGCGCTCGTCGACTGGGAGGAACAGACGAAGCCGGCTCCAGTACCAGTGAATGAAGCCGGCGAGTCAGCCCTTGATCATGGATATCCCCCGCGCAATATCGTACTGACCGGTGCGACTGGCTTCCTCGGTCGTTCAATCTTGAGCCAGCTTCTCACCCACGCATCCGTCCAACGAGTAGACTGCATTGCTGTCCGCGATGCTAGCACTCGGGACATGCCCCATATCTTCCATGACCCCAGGGTTCATGTGTACGATGGTGACCTGAGTCGACCCAATCTGGGTCTCTCTCCTTACAACGCCTCGGCCATCTTCGGTCGCGCTGATGCCGTCATTCACAATGCGGCCGACGTTTCGTTCCTCAAATCGTATACCTCGCTACGACCCGTCAACGTGGAAAGCATCAAGACTATCACATCACTCGTGCTCCCACGCCGTACCCCACTCCACTTTGTCTCTACTGCCGGCGTAGCCCATCTCGTCCCAGCACAGAGTAGGGGTCAGTTGGGAGGCGTTGGCGAGGTTTCGGTTGCCGGTTCGACTCCCCCACAAGATGGATCCGACGGCTATGTGGCAACCAAATGGGCGGGAGAACGGTTCCTCGAGCGTACGCAGTCATTGCTCTTGGAAGAGGATAAGAAACCTCTTCCCCTGTGGATCCACCGACCGAGCAGCGTCATGGGCGAGGGTGCATCCGAAACCGATCTCATGACTAACGTGCTGAAATACAGCATCGCCTTACAGGCGCTGCCGATTATCGGTGGTAACAGCAGCAATCCCCAACAAGGTGCGAGCACTGAAACCTCCGAGTCCTTCCTAGACTTCGTGGACGTCGAGACGGCGGCTGGGTCGGTCGTGCGGTGCGTCGTAGCTGAAGGTGGTGCTGGCTGGGCACCCGAGCAGATCAGGTACTCATATCATTCCGGAGAGTACATCATTCCGCTGCAGGCTTTGATGGCAACCGAGTCAGAAGGCGACCCAAGCGTTATTGCGACGCAGGCCCAAGGACTGGTGGAGGGATTCGGCGTCCTGCCTCTCGCTGAGTGGACTGAGAGGGCCAAGGCTGCAGGCATGAACGACCTCGTTGTCGCTCTTCTGACGGGTGCTGTTGGAGACGCAGGAAACACACTGCTGGATGGGCAAATCATGTTTCCCAGACTTTTGAAGGGCGCGATTTGATTACGACTTCAGATATGACGGGGGCATTTTAGCTCGTTATTGATAGCGAGCACCGTTGACGGAAGTTGTGCAGATTTGAAGCAAGGGAAATACGGAGGTGGAGCATAATCAGGGCCGAAAGGGTTGCAATTGTTTAAAGAGGCATGAGTTTTGTTGATATAAAGATCCTGATCTTGTTTCTTCTATCAGGTTGGTCTTGCGATGTATGCTCTTGCTCTTTCGATGGAATATCCTTTTATTTTATACAAAAAAGTTCTACGGTCATGCTGGTCGCGGAGGTATCCTGAGAATTACCTATGGAGAGACTCCATCGCTCACCCACTCACTGTACATCACATGGTTTTGTGCTTCAGTCTGATATGCGCCACCATGAACGCCATCGTTAGCTATGCACGGCTTAAAGCTACGGTCATTACGCCTGTTACTTGGCGCAGTGCGTGTGTGAGTCGCCCTGCCGGTCGCTGCGCACCCAACTAGAAGGTCTGCATCTGAAAACGCAGCCTTGCAAATGCCGGTTGACATGTTGGGGGGGAAGGGGGGCTTCAATCAAGGTTCAGTGGTGCGACTCATCACGTTCCTTGTGAACGCTATCATGGATCAAAAGAGTCACCAAGAGGCCTGTGAGCCGGATCGGCAGTACTAGCATACTAAGTAGTGAACGCTAATCTCAATGCAACGTATTCCAGTGCCCCGACCGACCGACCGGATCATTGCAGGTCTCATAAACATCAGACGAAAGCCCTCCGGCCGGCGCCCTACAGCACATCACACCCAGCATCCAACCATGGCCGCATATTCGGCACATCAGGCAATTGCCCAACCTGTCGGGTCAGACTCTCCGCAGCCCTCCGTCGTAATCTGAACGAAATGCCACTTTTCTCGTTTCAGTAGCTGCCCCGAGATCGACAGTCGAGACAACAGGTCAGCTAAAAAGGATGGCCCAGCGCCAAAGACTGCTTTTAAGAGCCCCTTTCCGTATTTGTGAGTGATTCCGGCTGGGCGCACCAGTAGCATGGTCGGGCGTTCAAAGCTCCGGCTGCCACTACTTCCAGCATACACATTCTCAGATCGTCTTCGATACCAAACTGCTTGATACTTAACATGAGCTGGTGAGCATCCTAGAAGCCTTTATGTGAGCAGACGGCAAACCCTTTCTTCACATGGAACCACAGTCGCGGGGATCCGAGTCACCTTCCACAATCAGGATTCCCAATACACCGCCAGTCCAGACATCAGCTGGCCGATTTGTTTTACTAGGTGCCGACAAGGCGGCGCGATGCCATCATTACACTTCCTCCTATTAGTGACTGTCTGTAGCATCGGAATCTGCAGTCAACAAACGCCCCTCAATAGTTTGCCAGCATGTGGTGTCAGTCCTCATTCTCAGGCCAATTATAGAATGCAACTTCCGCTGACCCAACACAGCTCTCATGCCTTCTCGATACCGTTCCCGCCAGTGGATGTTCCTTGACCGACAATGCGTGCCAGTGCTCGAATTCCGACCTTGCCATCACAACGGCTGCTTGCTTGCAAGCTAATTGCACAATGCAGGACACGTTAGGTGAGATCGTTACATGAGAGAGATCTTTGATAACAAGCTCACGCGCGAGCGAGCAGATGTCGCAAGAGTTCAGGCCAGTGTTTGTCAACTCCCGCACACCGACCACGGACAGGACACTTTAATCATCGTCTTCTCCATGGTCGCAGTTGCCTTTACAGCATATCTGCTCCGCATGACTTCAAAGGTCATGACTCATAATCTGGCCCTGGAGGATATTGTAATCACGACCGCTGTGGTAATGAAACCTGCCTTGGATCAAGCGATTTTACTATGGCTAACCGCCAAAGTTTCTTACCCCAGTCCCCATAGTCTGTGTTAGATATAGTAAGGTGCTCGCTGTTCACATGTATCGTATAATCCGGCTGAACAGACGCTTCTAGTGGTCGATTTAGGCTTTGGCAAACACCTATGGGATCTTGAAGACGGACACCTCCTCAAAACACTCCGATTATGTGAGTTTGGTTTCTGAGTCGTAATTTGAAGTTTCTTCCATGCTAATCTGGGATAGTCTACATTGCTGAAGTCGTCTACGTTGCCGTCTTGGCCTTGACTAAAGCCTCCATCATCTTGATGTACATCCACATATTCCGATCCAGTATCACCTTTCGCCGCTGGTCCTACGCCATCTTGTCGATGCTCATCTTAAGTTCCATCATCATTACACCACTCACCATTGTCTCTTGTCGTCCAGTTCGATTCTTCTGGGACAGGGACGTGAAGGGCGGCACTTGTCTTGACATAAACGCCCTGGCCTATGCACACTCGGCCATAGCCATCGTTTTCGACATCGCCATCATTACAATGCCCATAGGGATGCTCTGGCGCCTCAACATGCCTACCACTCGCAAGCTCCAGATTGGTATTATGTTCGCCATTGGTGGGTTTGGGCTCATCGCCACCGTGCTGCGTTTGCGATCGCTCCTTGTCTTTGGTAGTTCACTCGACCCAACCGTAGACTACGTGCCTGTGGTATACTGGACCACAGGGGAGCTGGCCGCCGGGATCATCTGCAGTTGCCTGCCAGCTATCCGCAAGTTATTGGACAAACCTACAAGGAGACTTGTCGACAGCGTGAAGTTGAGGAGAATCAAGAAAACAGGCTTGATGCCCTTGTCG